TCAGTGATCACATGACCGGGACCTCGTACAGAGGTCCCGTCCGACGATCGGTGTTTCACTGTGTCCGGAGGACACAGCGGACACCGGATCGCGGTGGTGCGCGCTCCTAGGGAGCGCGCACAGCTAGAAAAGGCGGGTGCCGTTTAGGAACGGCAACCCGACCTTGGACTGCCACCGCCCTGCCGTTTATAAACAGCAGGCGGACGGCAAGAGGTTAATAATGTAGGTACATATCTAAAGTTCTGTTTTACACAGTTTTGAAAAATCATATCAGGTAGGTGACGCCCCCCATTGTCCATACACTGAATAAGCCGATTTCTGGCGGTTTTCATGACCCTTACCAGCATAGCAGCGGGTATGTTGGCAATTTCTGCGCGGATGTTGGCCTTCGGGTCTTGTAGGGTCCTTGGACGGTTTACATAAACGCGGGATTTCAAAAAACCCCACAAAAATAAGTCACAAGGGGCCAAATTGGGGGAGCGGGCTGGCCACTCCAAATCGCCCCTTATTGAGATGAGGCGCTCCGGGAAGTGTTCGCTTAAAACAGCCATTGATGCTCTGAAGTGTGAGCCGTTTCTCCGTCCTGTTGGAACCAAATGTCCCCTAAGTCCAATTCAACAAGTCGTGGAAAAACAAATTCCTCCAACATGTTCACATACCGGTCTGAATTCACTTATTCAGTGTATGGACAATGGGGGGCGTCACCTACCTGATATGATTTTCAAAACTGTGTAAAACAGAACTTTAGATATGTACCTACATTATTAAAGACAATAAAAACAATTCTGATTCATAAAATGGGTTTTATTGCGTTTTGAAAAAAGGAAGTTATGTTGCCGCACCCTATATATATATATATATATATATATATATATATATACAGTATATATAGGAACCTGTAAGAGAAGGAAGAAAAGAGAAGAAAAGTTGGGAGTAGGGGAAACACAAAAAAAAAAGGGGGGGGGGGGAGCAGTGGGAGGGGGGATGAGGTATGGGAGGTGGAAACTTGCGGATTTTGTTTCATCGTCAGTATATTATTGAATTAAATTTATTATTATATATTATTATTTTTATGATTATTTATTAAATTATAATTTATGATTTCCTGTTTCAAATTTTATCCTACCCGGGATGTTTACTAGACTCTTGTTCGGACAGATTTCAGTGAGTTATTCCTAAAAATTACAGGCCTACAATAAAAAAATACATATTATTATTATTATTATTATTATTTTACAGTATTTATATAGCGCCAAAGGGTATGCTCAGCACTGTACAGTAGCAAGGGGGACAGAACATGAGACAAGACAGAAACAATACAATACACGAGGGGATCGAGGGCCCTTCTCTTTCGAGCTTACAATCTAGGAGGGAGGGGAAGGTGGCACAGGAGGAGATGGCTGTGGGGGATGGAGTGGTGGGTGGAGTGGAGGAGGTTAGTTGTTAGGTGAGGTCGGGTGTTAGGTGAGGGCGGGGTAGGCTTCCCTGAAGAGGAGGGTTTTCAGGGTGCGCCTGAAGGTGAGGAGGGTAGGTGACATTCTGATGGATTGGGGTAGGGAGTTCCAGAGGATGGGGGAAGTCCTAGAGAAGTCCTGCCATCGGGCGTGCCAAAAAATCCATGCAAAAAAATGTACCGCTATGAGCACAGAAATATGGACATAATCAGACCGCCAGGGAGGTTAAGTTTCTAATGGAATTGAAGACAAGTTTAATGGGGACTGCTGACCAGTACCGAATTAGCGGTGAGTGCGGTGGCAATAGGGGAGTCTGTTTCACCTAAAGCACAATGGTGGTGTAAGTCTCTCAAGGGATCCAAAAGCTATAGTTCATGGACCTTTGATGGACATTTTCATTGCCTACTATTTAGTTGCACATTTTCTTCACAAGTAGGTGGAGGCGGTGTGATTTCTTGATGGACCGAGCGCTGCTAGAGTAATAGATGTTGTTCACGCTTGCTTGTTTGTATTGAGTTTTACTGATTAAAGCAGCAGTTGACTATAATAGATTGAGTGGGTTTTCACCAATCTTCCAAGAGCACTTAATATAGTTGGTATGATAACTCAAAAGAGCCTCAAACAGGGAAAGACTGAGAACTCATGGGGCCCCCGGGCAATAGGGGATCATGGAGCCCCTGTGTCCTTGTCCACACTCAAACCACACCCAAAAAAGCCTATGAAAGGTACTAGGTGCATCTCATGGGGCCCCCTACTGACCCTGGGCACTCGGCCAGTGCCCGAATGGTCAGTCCGCCCCTGGCCTCAAAGACCTTTTTGCTGGGCATCACTTGCGACAGGACCCAATGGTCCCAATAAAGCTGAACTGGGTGAGTACCTCTGCAGCGTATGGAGCTGGTGGACTTTGCCAACACTCAACTAGAATGGCGTCTTTTCTAAGTTTGTCTCCCGATAAAGATGGTTGACATCTTTGTCCAATTTTCAACTTAGCACGGTAAAGAGCTTGGGGAAGGAATACTTAAAAGGTACAGGGAAGAAGTTAGAGGGTGCAAAAGGGGATTACGACAAAGCAGGAAAGGAGGAAGGATGTTGAGGAGAAAGAAAGAGTAAAGTTGAAAGAGAAAAGGCAGAGAAGATGGGAAGACGGGATAGTATATTAGTTGGGGTGTTTTTACTTCAAGACAAAAGACTTTATCAAAGAGCAAACATGTTTTGGGGGTCAGAGAACACCCCCTTCATCAGGGCTTGAAGAGGGAAGTAATAAAAGTAAGAGACATTTTAAACCAGGCAAATATTAAAGCACAAAGTCTACCAGCAGATGGTTCAAGATGGCTGCACAACACTTCGTGCTTCAATAATTTCCTGGTTTTAAAAACGGTGTACATTGAATCCAGCAGATATTACTTCTCACCAGGGGTGGACTGACAACTCATGGGGCCCCCGGGCAATAGGGGATCATGGGGCCCCTGTGTCCTTGCCCAAACTCAAAAAAGCCTATGAAAAAGGTACCAGGGGCATCTCATGGGGCCCTCTACTGACCCCGGGCCCTCAGGCAGTGCCCGAGTTTCCAAATGGTCAGTCCACCCCTGCTTCTCACTTCAATCCACCAAGAGCAGGTAGACCAGGAATAGGATGACACCACATACAGTGGCGGTGAGAGTCCCAAGAAGAGCCAAGGTGCAGAGTCTAAGGAGCTGCCTGGTCTTCACCAATGCGCCCAGCAAGGGACGGTGGGATTTGCTGTGGGACGGCTTTATGGTTGTGGCCCTTTGACCCATCAAATAGGGAGCTTCTGTACAGGAAGTACAAGTACATGAGAGAGAGCATCTGAGAGCACTGGGGGGCTGGGATTACAAGACCAGGAGTGAGAGTGTCTAGGAGCACTAGGATCTCAGTAATACAGGGATGGGAGTCACTTGCAGCACTGGGGTATCACATGAGTAGGAGTGAGAGTCTCCAAGAGCATTGGGGTGCTGGCAGCGCTGGGACATGGTCATCCTGCGCCCACAGCAAAGACAAAGATGCCACCATGCCCCCCGCCCCCCCACACACACCTCCTTCATGATGTGCAAGCTTAGGGGGTCCTATGCCCTGCAGTCATTTGTCAAAATCACTCTGCAGCTCCTGATCTGTCAGTCAGGTTTTGCATTAACCTGAAAGTGCGCAGTTTTTCCAAAGCAGTCCCACCACAAGAGGCAGGGAGGAGAAGGAGAGAGAAAGAGCACAGCCTGCACCATCTCCCTGCTCACTCCTTACCACTCCCAGAGCTGGGCAGACAGGAGTAGTGATGCTGCTGTCACTGCTCCTGTCAGACTTGTAACAGAAGGAAGGTGCGCCCATCCCTATAGTAAACCACCCCTACCACCCACCCCTGGGTGCTGGTATTGCAGGGACACTGAAGTGAGCATCTCCAAGAGCACTGGGGTACTGATATCACAAGAGTAGGAATTAAAATTTCTAGGAGCACTGGGGTGCTGGGATCATAAAGCAGAAGTAAGTGTCTCTAGGAGCACTGGGGTGCTGGGATCATAAAGCAGAAGTAAGTGTCTCTAGGAGCACTGGGGCGCTGGGATCACAAAGCAGAAGTAAGTGTCTCTAGGAGCACTGGGATCGCAAAGCAGGAGAGTCCTGCTGGGATGCTAAGACTGCAGGAACATGGAAGCGAGAGCCTCTTGCAGGGCTCTGGAATCACTGGATGACAGGATACAAGGGTTACTGGAACCTAGAAGCATCTTGAAAGTGCACAGGGGACACAGAAGAAGCTGAAAGCAAGAATTCTGGGGATTACAGGGGCACACAAAGAGACTTTAGAAGGCAACCAGGGTGGGGGGGGGGGGGGGGGGGTGGGGGGGAGGGGGTCAGCACCTAGACTGTAAAGTTGAGAAACACATGCACTGGCCCTTTGAGGAAGCGGCCAAGCTCTACTTGGTGGGACACTGGAGCAGAAAGCGGCTGAGTGTAACAATAACTCCTTACAGCAGTAGGACAACCCTAGGGTTCCATTACCACCATTTCAGTATGCCCAAGCAGGGACAGACTGACAACTCATGGGGCCCCCGGGCAATAGGGGATCATGGGGCCCCTGTGTCCTTGCCCAAACTCAAAAAAGCTTATGAAAAAGGTACCAGGGGCATCTCATGGGGCCCCCTACTGACCCCGGGCCCTCGGACAGTGCCCGAGTTTCCAAAATGGTCAGTCCGCCCCTGTTCCCAAGTCACCATAACTTTGATGGCCAGTCGCTGCCAGCAATAATAATTCATCTGACTTGTTCTGACTGCTACACCACATGGCCTACGGTTCATGAACACCTGACCATAACACCGATAGGCGCCATATTGCCTCTGTACATCCAACTGCCCCCAACCACTTTCGGGCTATAGCAGATATGTAGATTTGGTGGCACTGGTAGAAACATTTATGGTAAGGTCACAGTCAAAGAACATTCCGTCATTTTAACCTCTTCAAAAGCAAAAACTTTTTTTTTTTTTTTTGACCACAGCTCCTGCCTAATGCAGACTTATTATTGGTTGTCTCTGTTCTCTCCAGGAGGGAGGGCTATGCTCTCCAGGTGAAATGGGACAAGCTCCGAGCTCCTCCATCTTTCCTGTCATGGTGGAATCCATGGACAGAAGACCTGTCCTATGTCAACCTGATCCAACACCCAGGAGTGGCCACCCAGGAGGACCTAAGAGACATGTGCCAGGTAAGATGGGAGAGGATAACAGCAGCAAAGCCAAACAAAAATGTCTATATTAGCAGACATTGACAGTTTACCTAGCGTCAGATATATTTTTTTTATGTTAAGTATATGGTGTTGGGGATGCTGTATGTCAGGGATGGCAAACTGGTGGTCCTCCAGCTGTTCCAAAACTACAAGTCCCATCATGCCTCTGCCTTTGGGAGTCATGCTTGTATCTGTCAATCTTGCAATGCCTCCTGGGACTTGTAGTTTGGCAAGAGCTGGAGGGCCGTCAGTTTGACACCCATGCTGTATGTGATCATGCGTCATAGTCAGGGGCGGACTGTCAATTTGGAAACTCGGGCACTGCCCAAGGGCCCGGGGTCAGTAGGGGGCCCCATGAGATGCCCCTGGTACCTTTTTCATAGGCTTTTTTGAGTTTGGGCAAAGACACAGGGGCCCCATGATCCCCTATTGCCCGGGGGCCCGACGAGTTGTCAGTCCGCCCCTGGTCATAGCACTCCTCAACCCCTTCAGCTCCGGAAAGGTTTTACCCCCTTCATGACCAGGCCACTTTTTGCTATTTGGCACTGCACTACTTTAACTGCGGTCATGCAACACTGTACCCAAATGAAATTTATATACTTTTTTTCCACACAAGTAGAGCTTTCGATTGGTGGTATTTGATCACCGCTGGGTTTTTTTATTCTTTATTATATAAACGATAAAAGGCCTAACATTTTGGGAAAAAAACAATATTTTTTACTTTCTGCTATAAAACTTATCCAATAAAATATTTTATAAAATTATTTTCAAAGTTCTTCATACATTTAGACCAAGATGTATTCTGTTACATATCTTTGGTAAAAAAAAAAAGAGTCCCAAGAAGAGTATATTGATTGGTTTATGTGTGAAAGTTATAGCGTCTACAAACTACGGGATATATATTGGAATTTTTATTTATTTTATATTACTAATGTTGGTGATCAGCATCATATCATGGGACTGTGATAGTGCGGTGGGCAATTTGACACTAACTGACACTGGGTGGGAACCAGTGGTGTATTTAGGTTTCGGCTCCCCCCCCCACGGAGAGACCCTGACACCGACCAACACCCCCCTCCCCCACGAAGAGACCCTGATATTGACCAACAACACCCCAGCCCCCACCCCCCCACTCGAGACATCCTTCCACTACCACCGCCCCCCATACACTGGCAACCCCACCCAGGCAAGAGAGAGGACACTCACCTTCACAGCTCCGGACATCCCCGGGAACAACAGTAAGGCTCTGTAGACACCATCAAGCAGCCCGCAGCCTCTCTCAGATCCCACCTGGTCCCCGTGGTGTGTGTGTGTCCCTTCTTCCATCCCTTCTTTGGGGGGGCAGCGCTACCCCCCTGAAAAATGCCACCCTAGGCAAATGCCTTGTTTGCCTTGTGGTAAATACGCCCCTGCATAGACCTCCTGATCTGAAATTTCAGCTGGTGTGCAGTGGGTGATGCAAAGTAATATTAGCCCTTTCGGGGGACGGCACTGCCCCCCTCAAGAATGCCGCTGCCCCCCCTGAAAAATGCCACCCTAAGCAAATGCCTTGTTTGCCTTGTGATAAATATGCCCCTGGTGGGAACTAAGTGCCACTGACACTAATATGATAATACTATACGCTGTCCCTGTAATAATGACGCTGGCTGGGAAGGGGTTAGCATTTCGGGTAATCAAGGGGTTAAATGTGTGCCTAACTATGTGTAATCTTTGCTGCTTTTTACTAGACATCTCTTCCTTCTGTACAGAGCCCTGTGTTGATTGTCAGCACAGAGCTCTGGGCTGTAATTGGACACAGCCAATCAGCAGGTCTCGGCCATGAATCACTGGACCTGCTGACTAACTCCTGCTATGTACAGTCACAGCAGGAGCAGGCGGGCAGGGGCGCACACAAGCGCCCTGTACCCGGAAGAGGCCAGCACCGTACAGGTACGTCGCTGTGTCTGTACTGGCCACCCATCCTCAGTACATCGCAGGTAGTGATGGGCCCCCTCCTTTTCGGTTCGCGGTCGAACATTCAAACCTAGCAAACGTTGGACCGCGAACTTCGAACACAATGCAAGTCTATGGGACTTGAACTTGCAAATTCAAAAGTGCCCATTTTGAAGGCCTATATGTATGTTATTGGCTATAAAGGGGGGTATGGGGACTCAGGTACTGCCCTGAGGGACATGAATCTGTGAACAAAAATAAAAAAAAAAGTACCATTTTTTAAAGGGGCAGTCATTTTTCATTGCTTAAAGTAAAAAAAAGAAAATTAAAAATTCCTTTAACCCCTTCCAGTCCGGACACTTTCCCCCCCTTCCAGTCCGGACACTTTCACCCCCTTCCAGTCCGGACACTTTCCCCCCCTTCCAGTCCGGACACTTTCACCCCCTTCCAGTCCGGACACTTTCCCCCCTTCCAGTCCGGACACTTTCACCCCCTTCCAGTCCGGACACTTTCACCCCCTTCCAGTCCGGACACTTTCATCCCCTTCCAGTCCGGACACTTTCACCCCCTTCCAGTCTGGACACTTTCACCCCCTTGCAGTCCGGACACTTTCACCCCCTTCCAGTCTGGACACTTTCACCCCCTTCGAGTCCAGACACTTTCCCCCCCTTCCAGTCTGGACACTTTCACCCCCTTCCAGTCCGGACACTTACAGCCCCCCTTCCAGTCCGGACACTTTCCCCCTCTTCCAGTCCGGGCACTTTCCCCCCTTCCAGTCCGGACACTTTCACCCCTTTCCAGTCCAGACACTTTCCCCCCCTTCCAGTCCGGACACTTTCACCCCCTTCCAGTCCAGACACTTTCCCCCCCTTCCAGTTCGGACACTTTCACCCCCTTCCAGTCCGAACACTTTCCCCCCCCTTCCAGTCCGGACACTTTCCCCCTCTTCCAGTCCGGACACTTTCACCCCCTTCCTGTCCGGACACTTTCACCCCCTTCCAGTCCGGACACTTTCACCCCCTTCCAGTCCGGACACTTTCCCCCCCCTTCCAGTCTGGACACTTTCACCTTCTTCCAGTCCAGGACACTTTCCCCCCCTTCCAGTCCGGACACTTTCACCCCCTTCCAGTCCGGACACTTTCCCCCCTTCCAGTCTGGACACTTTCACCTTCTTCCAGTCCGGACACTTTCCCCCCTTCCAGTCCGGACACTTCCCCCCCCTTCCAGTCCGGACACTTTCCCCCTCTTCCAGTCCGGACACTTTCACCCCCTTCCTGTCCGGGACACTTTCACCCCCCTTCCAGTCTGGACACTTTCACCCCTCTTCCAGTCCGGACACTTTCACCCCCTTCCAGTCTGGACACTTTCACCCCCTTCCAGTCTGGACACTTTCACCCCCTTCCAGTCTGGACACTTTCTCCCCCTTCCAGTCCGGACACTTTCACCCCTTCCAGTCCGGACACTTTCACCCCCTTCCAGTCTGGACACTTTCACCCCCTTCCAGTCCGGACACTTTCACCCCCTTCCAGTCTGGACACTTTCACCCCCCTTCCAGTCTGGACACTTTCACCCCCTTCCAGTCCGGACACTTTCACCCCCTTCCAGTCTGGACACTTTCACCCCCTTCCAGTCCAGACACTTCCCCCCCTTCCAGTCCAGACACTTTCACCCCCTTCCAGTCCGGACACTTTCCGCCCCTTCCAGTCCGGACACTTTCACCCCCCTTCCAGTCCGAACACTTTCCCCCTCTTCCAGTCCGGACACTTTCCCCCTCTTCCAGTCTGGACACTTTCACCCCCTTCCAGTCCGGACACTTTCACCCCCTTCCTGTCCGGACACTTTCACCACCTTCCAGTCCGGACGCTTTCACCCCTTCCTGTCCGGACACTTTCACCCCCTTCCAGTCCGGACACTTTCACCCCCTTCCTGTCCAGGGCAATTTTCAGCTTTCAGCGCTATCACACTTTGAATGACAATTGCGCGGTCATGCAACACTGTACGCCATATGAATTTTTTAGCATTTTTTGAGACAGAATAAAATTTTGCAAATAAATAATCATTCTTCATAAATCTTGGCCAAAATGTATTCAGCTATCTTTTTTAGTAAAAAAAAATTACACAAATTAGTTTATAACCAAAAATTATAATTACAAAAAAAAAATAGTTTTACATTTTTATAATATTATTTATGGTTTTTATTTTTTTCACCATGGTGACACTGTACTACTTGTGGGGGGTGATGAAATTTTTTTTTTCTCTTTTTTTACACTGATTGCTTTTACACCCATAAAGGCTGTAAAAGCAACCATTTCTCCTTCTCTCTGGCTGCATTAATTTTTTTGTTATATAAATGAACAAGTCCAAATATTTTTTTAAAAAAGTGTTTTTTTCTGATAACATTTTGCAAATAAATAATCTTTCTTCATAAATCTTGGCCAAAATGTATTCATCTGTCTTTTTAGTAAAAGAAAAATAACCCAAATTAGTTTATAATCAAAAATTATAATTTTTCAAAAAATGTATTTACATTTCTGTTTTTTGTTATATTATTATTTATATTTTTCTTACATACTGTCACCCTAGCAGTACAGTGTCACCATAGTGACACTGTACTACTTGTGGGGGGTGATGAAGATTTTTTTTTTCTTTTTTTACACTGATTGCTTTTACACCCATAAAGGCTGTAAAAGCAATCATTTCTCCTCCTCTCTGGCTGCATTCTTGCAGCCATTGAGAAATACTGTGAGAGCTGTGATTGGTCACAGCTTGTCACATGGTACAAGGCTATTGTGAATAGCCCTGTACCATGTGATCTCTGTGATCATTCACAGATTTCACACGTAGTAAGTAATGATGTCAGGAAGTGACATCTTGCTTACTACTATTCATGTGATCACTGATTGGCCAATCAGTGATCACATGATCGAGGACCTCACACAGAGGTCCTGTACAGCGATCTGTGTTCCGCTGTGTCCTCCTCTGTGTGAATAGCCCTGTACCATGTGACCTCTGTGATCATTCACAGATTTCACATGTAGTAAGCAATGATGTCAGGAAGTGACATCTTGCTTACTACTATTCATGTGATCACTGATTGGCCAATCAGTGATCACATGATCGAGGACCTCACACAGAGGTCCTGTACAGCAATCTGTGTTCCGCTGTGTCCTCCTCTGTGTGAATAGCCCTGTACCATGTGACCTCTGTGATCATTCACAGATTTCACACGTAAGCAATGATGTCAGGAAGTGACATCTTGTTTACTACTGTTCATGTGAATTCATTGGCCAATCAGCGATCACATGTTCGAGGACCTCACACAGAGGTCCCATACAGCGATCTGTGATCCGGAACGCAGTGCCGCGCGCTCCCAGGGAGCAAGCACAGGCAGTTAATGCGGCCATTTATAAACGACAACCCGCTTCGGCTCTGCTCCCGTCCAGCCGTTTATGTACATGGGCTGGACGGGAAGTGGTTAGATATCATGCCTGGGGGGGTCCCCTTAAACTACCTGCAAAGTCGCACACCTGTACAATGTATAGAACCTGCTGCAGCAGGACTGACATTTTTTTTTTTTAATTACATTTTTATAAAACAAAAAAAAAACAGTGTGGGGTCCCCCCTCCCCCAATCCATACCAGACCCTTTAGGTCTGGTAAGAAGGTTAGTAGGGACCCCACAGAAAAAAAAAGAAGTGTGTGGGTTTCCCGCTAAAAGCCATCCTAGGCAAAGATTTCCCACTAGATTTTCAGTAACCCTCTCATAATGCATCTTTATTAGCGCTGAGACTTTTCTTGTGTACGGGGTCACCATGTTCTGTCGGTGTTTGTAGATCTATGGCTTCCATCCAGCCACAGCCATCACTAATCTATATTGATCGGTGGTGTCTGATAAATAATCTGCATTCCTTGTCAGGCATTTGTTACAAAATCCCCTTTGTGGTATCGCGCCGCCATCATTCACTGTTGGGTATCGATCAGTTTACTGAGTCCGGCGCGCGTAACAAATTAGCTTCTTGTCATACCGGCAATTTGTCCAGGAAAGCTACCGTATTATTATCCTCCCAGCCTCCTCTAAGTCAATTACCAGTGTGCTGGGCTGAGAAGGGAATGACACGCCGGGCAATATCATTGTTCACAAAGAAAGATGGCTTCTCCCTGCCATGGCTGTAGGTACAGGAAAGAAGAAACCATTGCAAAAAAAAAAAAAATGTAAAAGACGTTTTAAGAGTCAGTCCACCCAAAAGTGAAACTAAGGTGCCGGCAACTATGGAGAAAAGGGCAACGCGATGACGTCACCAAAGATCCTGTTAGGGATCCGGGTATGACCAGAAATGTGTGGGAACACAGGTGTAGTCGGGGCAGGAAAGGTGGAATGCTCGGGCAGGCCGTTTGGTACTGTTAAGCACCGCCTGGCGGTGTCTCTAGCAGCCCACGGCACGGGGTTCCTCAGGGCGCGGGGTCTAAGTCCCAATCTGCTTATTCACCAGAGCCCCTGATGGTGGGGATGGACTTGGAGCAGACTGAGACCAGGTTGCGACCCCTGAGTACGTCCGGCAATGGTAGAGAGCGTCGTCAGAGGTGTGCCTGACGTGAAGAGGCTAGCAGACCTGGTAACATGGACAGATCGGTGCGGGATGGATGGATCGTCTGGGTAACGTAAGGCATAGTCAGGCAGGCCAAGTCAGCAACGTGCGGGGGCAGCGAGGTACCGGAGGAGCAGGCAGAGAATGGTCAGGGTCACAAGCCGGGTTCAGTAACTCACGAGCAGCGCGATACAGAGGATCAGGAATAAGGATGGTCAGGCAAGCCAGGGGTTAAACAGGAGACGGTCAGCAGGGTCAGGAACAATGCAGAGGTCGGCAACAGAAGATTCACAGGATACCAGGTATAGGGGCTCATGGGAAACAAACACCAAGGAACTGATTGCAGGCCTGATCCTGCTTAAATAGACCTCCTGCAATCAGCCTCAGGTGATGGCTTGATTGCAGGAGTGAGACCCTGGCTGCTGAAAGCACCCTCTGGTAGGAGCTGGTACTGCAGCCCACAGAACAAGTGAGCCACAGCACCACCAGTGGTGAGTCCATTCCTGACAGATCCATTATCTCCTGCGCTCAAAGACTCAGATCAAACGGGCATTAGTAACAAACAGCGTGTTCATCCGCTGGTGATCAGAGGTTGTGCAGCTCTATCATGAAGCTGGGGAAGCTTCATAAAACTGTAGAAGAGGATGAAAGAAAGAGCGCACAAACCTTGCGCATTACCTCAATAAATAGGGACTAATTTTGTTTTATTTAGGAAATATACTCACAAAAGTGATGGTAAAACAGGCATAAGTTAGCCATAATCCACACAGGGTTACAGGTAAATCCAAAGAGGGAGGGCTAAGGAGCACTAAGCCCCCCTTGAACAAACTCCCAAAGCCCAAATCAACAACACTACCAGCCCACCTGGCTGCCTTGGAGAGTGTTCCAGAACAAGAGATTTAGGTAGCTGTGACATTGTCCTGTTGGGAGCTTGTCATGTCTTCTCCTTCAGACTGCAGGGTAGTGCAGATCGCTCTTTCCAGCTTCCTTTCCTTCCCTCTCCTTCCTCAGCTTAAGCTTGGAGGCAGAGCCCCCCTTCCCCAGGGTCCCTCTCCCCCGGCTCTATGATCCTCAGCACTCCATCTTCCACTCAATCACCAGACTCTCTAACTGGCCAGGCTCTTCAATATTTATGTGCTGACCAAGCTGCCTTGTCAGGCCTCCTGTCTAGGGATTGGCCAGATTCCCATAAACATGCAGATCACAGCCTCTTGGTCTCCGCCCAATAACTTCTAGAATCTTCTAAAAGACTCCAGAATCAGGGGGGAGGTACCAGAGGCCTGAACTGTAGAGCCCTCCAACCTGACCTAAAGTAAACCAAAAGCAATTCCCCAGACTCACCCCACTACTGTGAGCCATTAAATCGTCCTCACTCTAACTGCATGCTAGAGGGTGCTACACATAGAAATGAAACAAATTCTACATAAGTTGTACCTGTTTATCTGCAAAACTATTCTCTACAGTAGTTCGAAGTCCAGAATTTATATAGCTTGTCTGAGCTTTCAGAAAGCAGATGGGTGGGGATCTGCAGTTACACACTACAGTGCTCAGTGAGGAGAGTTGAGAGCTGATTGGAGGGAAGGGATACACCCCTCCCTTCACACAGGAACAGAGCTGAGGCTGTCAATCACAGGCTGTGTGCCAGAAATCCCTCCTCTGACATCCCTCTCTTGATGCCAAGAAAACTTGTCAGACATAATTCATGCAGATAGCAGAGGACCGAGGAAGCAAACAGAAATGACACCCAGTGCTCTGGATTGAGACATATAAACACACTATAGAGGGATATTCTTTGCTTATATTTCATGTTAGAGACTTTACAACCATTTTAACCTCCAGTGGATTTTGTGTTTTCACAGCTGGAGCAATTTAAGGAGAAGCTGATGGAGATGGTGAAGCTGGAACACCAACACAGTCCCCTCCCTGGGACAGCCAATGGCCCACTCATCCTCAACAGGCCTGTACAGATAGATACATCCATAGGACTGGTCTCTCTAGTCAACAGCAAAGTCCAGTTGGGTTACGCCAAGCCAAGGTGGGGATTTGGATTTTGAATGGTCCCATTTTGACTTTTATGACATTAACCACTGTAAATATTACCAAAAACACATGATGGATCCAAGAAGCCATCATAGTTACATAGTTACATAGTTAGTCTGGCTGAAAAAAGACAAAAGTCCATCCAGTCCAACCATATAAAAAAAAAAAAGTTATAATCCTATACCCACAGTTGATCCAGAGGAGGGCAAAAGACCCAGCAAAGCACGATCCAATTTGCTCCCTGCAGGGAAAAGATTTCTTCCTAATCCCCCGAGAAGCAATCGGATATTCCCTGGATCAACTTTCCCTATAAATGTTATATCCAGTTATATTCTGTGTAACCAAGAAAGAATCCAGGACTTTCCTACAGCAATCCACTGAGCTGGCCACAACCAACTCCATGTATAAGACATAAGGGGGGATATGATCTTCTCAAGAGAGAATAAATTCAGTTCCTCTAATCTGTCCTCATAGCTGAGCTCCTCCATGCCTCTTATCAGTTTGGTTGCCCTTCTCTGTACTTTCTCCAGTTCCCCAATGGGAGGACTTCTACCCGAACGTACAAAAGTCATCATATCTACAAATCTCAATGGTTTTTCTCATGTGTAGCTAACAGCCAGGTCTAAGACTAAGACACTTAACTGCATTCAAGACTTCAAGTGATGGAAAATGCCTCTCACCCAGTGGAAGTTGACAAAGGATAAAACGTGTGGGCAAAGGTCTGTCTTATGAAGTACTTTAGAAATATATTTCTATACAGAAGTGAAGTTGCATGGTAACAATTTGTTTGAGCAATAAAGGTTGCTGAGGAAAGAACAACTGGATGTCTTGTCTCATTCTTATTGTGAATCATTCATCACTGTCTCTGGGGGGAGGATAATCCGTCATTGTAACACTTCAAGCTATGTACTTACATGGAGGGGGAGGAAGAGGAGCAAGAGAGTGTTAGAGAGGCAGAGAGAGGAAGGAAGGAAGGAAGGAAGGAAGGAAGGAAGGAAGGAAGGAAGGAAGGGGAGGAAGGAAGGAAGGAAGGAAGGAAGGAAGGAAGGAAGGAAGGAATGGGATGGAAGGGAGGGAGGGAGGAAGGAAGGAAGGGGAGGAAGAAACGGGATAAGAGGGAGGGGAGGAAGGAAGGAAGGAAGGAAGGGGAGGAAGAAATGGGATAAGAGGGAGGGAGGGAGGAAGGGAGGAAGGGGAGGAAGAAACGGGATAAGAGGGAGGGAGGGAGGAAGGGAGGAAGGGGAGGAAGAAACGGGATAAGAGGGAGGGAGGGAGGGAGGAAGGAAGGAAGGAAGGAAGGAAGGAAGGAAGGAAGGAAGGAAGGGGAGGAAGAAATGGGATAAGAGGGAGGGAGGGAGGAAGGGAGGAAGGGGAGGAAGAAACGGGATAAGAGGGAGGGAGGGAGGGAGGAAGGAAGGAAGGAAGGAAGGAAGGAAGGGGAGGAAGAAACAAGATGGAAGGGAGGGAGGAAGGAAGGAAAGAAGGAAGGAAGGAGGGGGAGGAAGAAACGGGATGGGAGGGGGAGGAAGGAAGGAAGGAAGGAAGGGAGGAAGGGAGGAAGGGAGGGAGGGGAGGAAGAAATGTGATGGGAGGGAGGAATGAAGGAAGGAAGGAAGGAAGGAAGGAAGGGGAGGAAGAAATGGGATGGGAGGAAGGAAGGAAGGAAGGAAGGGGAAGAAGAAATGGGATGGGAGGGAGGAATGAAGGAAGGAAAGAAGGAAGGAAGGGGGAAGGAAGGAAGGAAGGGAGGGGAGGAAGGAAGGAAGGGAGGGGAGGAAGAAATGGGATGGGAGGAAGGAAGGAAGGGGAGGAAGAAACGGGATGGGAGGGAGGAAAGAAGGAAGGAAGGAAGGAAGGAAGGGGAGGAAGGAAGGAGAGGGATATCAGAGATAGATGATAGAGTCCTCAGAACTATAGAGTGTGGATTCAGAAAATGAAAGAGGGAGTCCATAAAATGATAGAGTAATTATATAGTTGATGAAATAAGAATGATAAATTATAGAAAGAAAGTACATAAAATTATATATTGAGAGAGAAAAAGAAAATAGCCCAAGAAATGTAGGAAGGAAGAAGACCGAATCAAAGAAATGAGAGAGAGCGATGACTGGGTCCAAGAAATGATAGTGAGATAATTGGATCCATGAAATTTTAGAGAAAGGGTCCTGGAAGTGACAGAGAGAGTAAGAAAGAGAGTCCATTAAATGATGATACAGTCCAGGACATGAGAAGGAATCCAAGAAATGATAGAGATTCAAAGATAGAAGGGGGAGATAGAAAGTCCAGGAAATGAGAGATTCCAAGAAATGAAAGAGTCAATTAAATGATATATTTGAGTGAAGAACATGAGTTCTTAGAGAGAGAGAGGGGTGCAAGAAATGAGAGAGAAAAAGAGAATGTAGAGGGCCCAAGAAATGATAGAGAGATGATTGAGTCCAAGAAAAGATGGAGGGATGATCAAGTCTAAGAAATAATAGAGAGATGATTAGATCAGAAACATGATAGGAGTTGTGAATGGGTCAAAGAAATATTAGAGAGGTGATTGAGTCCAAGAAATGATAAAGAGATGATCAAGTCCAAGAATTGGTAGAGAGATGATTGGGTCCAGGAAATGATAGATGACTGAGCCCAACAATTGATAGAGAGATGATTGCATCCAAGAAAGTACAGAGCGTTAACTGGGCTCAAAAAATTATAGAGACTACTGAGTCCCAGAAATGAATGAGAGATGATTGGTTCCAAGAGATGATTGATCCCAAGAAATGATAGAAAGATGATTGGTTCCAAGAAATGATAGAGATGATTGGGTCCAAGAAATGATAGATAGGTGATTGGGTCCAAGAAATGATAGAGATGATTGGGTCCAAGAAATGATAGAAAGGTGATTGGGTCCAAGAAATGATAGAGATGATTGAGTCCCAGAAATGAAAGAGAGATGATTGTTTCCAATAAATGATAAAGAGATGATTGGGTTCAAGAAATGATAGAGATGATTGGGTCCAAGAAATGATAGAGAGGTGATTGGGTCCAAGAAATGATAGAGAGATGATTGGTCCCCAGAAATGATAGAAATATGATTGGTTCCAAGAAATGATAGAGATGGTTGGGTCCAAGAAATGATATATAGGTGATTGGGTCCAAGAAATGATAGAGATAATTGGGTCCAAGAAATGATAGAAAGGTGATTGGGTCCAAGAAATGATAGAGATGATTGAGTCCTAGAAATGAAAGAGAGATGATTGTTTCCAAGAAATGATAAAGAGATGGTTGGGTCCAAGAAATGATAGAGGGATGACTGAGTCCTATAAATGGTAGAGAGATAGCTGGGTCCAAGAAATGATAAAAAGATGATTGGGTTCAAGAAATGACAGAGAGATGATTGGGTCCAACGAATGATAGATGATTGGTCCCAAGAAATGATAAAGAGATGATTGGTTCCAAGAAATGATAGAGATGATTGGGTCCAAGAAATGATAGAGAGGTGATTGGGTCCAAGAAATCATAGAGATGATTGGTTACAAGAAATGATAAAGAGATGATTGGGTCCAAGAAATGATAGATGGTTGGGTTTGAGAAATGGTAGAGATAATTGGGTCCAAAAAATGGTAGAGAAATGATTGGGTCAATGAAGTGATAGAGTGATGACTGGGTTCAAGAACTGACAGAGAGATGACTAAGTCTAATAATAGAGAAGTGTTTTTTTTCCTGCAGTCACTCTTGCATTTTGGCAAGCAAATTGAGAGGTGGGATAGTGAAGAGAAGGTGAGTAATGAGCAGGGGCGGACTGACAACTCATGGGGCCCCCGGGCAATAGGGGATCATGGGGCCCCTGTGTCCTTGCCCAAACTCAAAAAAGCCTATGAAAAAGGTACCAGGGGCATCTCATGGGGCCCCCTACTGACCCCGGGCCCTCGGGCAGTGCCCCAGTTTCCAAATGGCCAGTCCGCCCCTGATAATGAGCTGAGCTGGTGGGGCCACCATGGAAGTAAATCTGTTGCTTTGCCATGCATGGACTTCAAATTTCATGTATATTTTAAAGCTCAGCTCCACCTTTTACACAAATTGTGTGCGCAAATAAAAAAGAATAAGTGACGGTAACAAATGACTAAGGATTGTGACAAGCCTCCCTGAGGAGACAGGTTTTTATTAGAGCAAGGGAGGAGACTCCAGAACACAGCTGCAGCAGGGGAGAAGTCCTGGATGTGACAGTAGGAGGAGGTAGGGAGGGAGGATGACACACAAAGAGTATAACTAAGAATGAAGGATGAGAAGTAGTGAATGCAGCATTTTCAGGAGATTCGAGTCAAAAAAATAGTTTAAATTTAGTCCTACAAGCAGAGACTGTCACAGGACAGAGACGTAAGCAGAGCAGCTGCTAAGAAAGATAAGCCTGGCAATTAAATTTATGACTGACTGAAGTGCTACCGACTTTAAGAGGAACTTCAAATTTAAAATCCCTAACATTAGTCCTTGTATGAAAATTAAAAAAAAAAGTAGGGGACCCCATGAGATGCCCCCGGTACCTTTTTCATAGGCTTTTTTGAGTTTGGGCAAGGACACAGGGGCCCCATGATCCCCTATTGCCCGGGGGCCCCATGAGTTGTCAGTCCGCCCCTGATCTGGCTATCCCTATGTGCCTTTCCTTTTTTGTATGAGTCATAATATCTTTGTGGATGATGCAATTTGAACACCTATGCCAGGGGTCTCCAAACTTTCTAAACAAAGGGCCAGTTTACTATCCTTCAGACTTTAGGGGGGGGCCGGACTGTGGCCATTGGGATTTGAAATTGTCCTGGTGTCAGTGGAAGTAAACAATGCATCTTTGGTATTAGGGGGAGGAATAGTGCCCCATTGCTGGTGTCAGTGGGAGGAATTGTGTCTTGTTATCAGTGGGAAGAAAAGTGCCTCAAGGGTCGGATAGAAGCAAGCAAAGGGCCGCAGTTTGGAGACCACTGACCTATGCACTTGTTATGTCTTGTTCTTTCTTTTAGTAAAGAAAAAAATTGCAATAAAAATG